GAGAGCCAGGATCAATGGATAAAACTTACGAAAACACAGTGAAAACCAGGGCCACAGCAAATCAGCACAGGGGACGGGGCATCCTGCAACGGGCGCAGCTGGGCTACAAGCCTGCCACAGTGCTTTTAACCTCGTAAAATTCCATGAATTTAGAGGTCACCTGGGGCTTGGGGAGGGGGAATAGAAGTGGGGACTGCTGATGGGCACGAAGCTCCTATTTAGAATGATGGAAAGGTTCTGGAAGGTGGGGATGGCTGCGCGACACTGTTAAGTGTAACTGATGCTACTCATCTGTACACTTAAAATTGCGAAGATGGCAAATTTTATGTCCTATTTATTTCACCACCATGAAAAAAAAACATGCCTCTATTATCCTATGTGAGAGATGCATTAAAATTTAAAGTTAAAATCTGAGTCAATAAAAGAGGATTCCGCTACTGATGGTGGTGAAGGTATTTCTTTCAGTTCGGAAGGATGTACTGTACCACAAAGGGGTTTTCTGCAAGCAAATGCTGCAGCGACCCAGCGTTTCATAAAAACCCAAAGCGAGTGTGTATTCTCCGGCAATGCCAGTCCATCACACCAGAGGGGTTCCTGAGGGGAAGAAACAGTATGCAAAGAAAGCACACTTGTAAACGTTCCCATATTATCATGATGCTAAATGTTCTCACTGATGATGAAATGGGGTGTATGGTTTAGAATAAAGTCCTCTTTCATCCACCCACAACAACGGACCTACAAATTTACAAGTACAGAGGCTAAAAAGACCCAATTTAATACATGAGTGGGAAAGAAGTATCCAGAAGCCTGGGAGAGCACTGGGGAAACTTCACTCCTGTGTCCATATATGTGGGCTGCTGAGTTCTGAGAGATTAGGAAGAAACCACGGGATACCCTCACCCAGAAAGTCTGCTGGCAGGGGTGAGGGGGTTGCCAACTAGATCTCAGGGTTGTGACTCCAAGCCCTATGTTGGGCGTGGAGTCTACCTTAAAACTAAAAAAATGTTTTATACTTGTTGGGATGAGCACTGGGTGTTGTATGTAGGGGATGAATCACTGGAATCTACTCCTGAAATCATTACAGCACTAGATGCTAACTGACTTGGATGCAAATTAAATGAATTAATTAATGTAAAAGAAATTTAAAAAAATTTTAAATTATATTTTATTAAAATTTATTTATTTATTTTGAGAGAGACAGAGACAGAGTGGGGGTGGTAGAGGGGCAGAGAGCGAGAGAGAGACAGAGAGGGAGGGAGGGGGGGGAGAGAGATAGAGAGAGAGAGAGAGAGAGAGAGAGAGAAATATCCCAAGCAGACTCTGTGCTGCCAGTGCAGAGCCAGATGCAGGGATCAAACCCACAAAGTCGCAAGATCTGACCTAAGCTGAAACCAAGAGTTGGAGACTTAACCAACTGAGCAATCCAGGTGCACCCCCCAAAACTACTGTTAAAAATTCACTTTAAAATGTAAGATTTCTTTGCTGTTTTCTACCCTCCCACCAAGAAGCACATATATTTTTGAAAAGATTTCATTTTTAAGTAATCTCCACACCCAACATGGGGCCTGAACTTAGAACTCCAAGATCAAGAGTCACAAAAGCATACTTCTTCTTAAAAGTGAATGAAAAACGATTTGCCATACCAATACTAATTGAAAGTAGTCTTTGAAAAAGAAGAATAGTTAGAAGATAGACTACCCGATTTCAAAAACTTTGTAAAAGTCTATTAGTGGTTTTTTTTTGTTTTGTTTTGTTTTGTTTTTTTTGAGAGAGAATCCCAAGCAGGCTCCATGCTGTCAGTACAGAGCCCAATACAGGGTTCAAAGTTACGAACCATAAGATCATGACCTAAGCTGAAATCAAGACTTGGATGCTCACCTAACTGAGCCACCCAGGCCCCGCAAACCCACAAGATTTTTTATTAAGCTACAAGACACTGTCCTTCTGGCATCAAGACAGACAACTGGATGGATGGAAGAATAATGAGTTCTCAAATAAATTACACAGAGAGGGTAATGGATCTTCAACAAAGCTACTTCAGCTGACAAAGAACAGTCTTTCCAACAAGGGAGGCTGGATCTGGACATCCATGTACAGGAGGAAAACAAAACCTTTGATGTAGCCCTTACATTGTATTAAAAAATGAATCAAAGTAGATTATACACCTAAATATAAAGCTTAGAAGAAAGTCTTTGTGATCATAAGTCAGTCAAAGGTTTCTTAGCTATGATACCACAAACAATCCATACATTTAAAAAATTGATGATGTGGACTTCATCAAAAGTAAACTTCTGCCCTTCAAAGGACACTGTTAAGAGAAAAGATAAGCCAGACTTGGAGAAAATATTTGCAAACCAGGTACCTGATAAAGGGTATGCATTCAAAATTTATCACGAGCTCTCAAAATTCAGTAAGAAAACAAAAACACCACAACCAAAAGGGGGCTAATGATTTGAACAGATGCTCAACAAAAGATACACCAAAGGCACAGAAGATGAAAAGATGCTCAACATCATTACTCATTAGGAAATGCAAATGAAAACCACCATGAGATCTTAATACACACCTACTTGAAGGGCTAAACTTTAAGACTGACAATACCAGATGTTGGCAAAGATGGGCAGGAAGTGGAAGTCTCAAACTCCACTAGCGGTACTATGTCATTAAAAATAAATAAATAAAAGTGGGGTGCCTGGGTGGCTCTGTTAGGTAAGCATCCAACTTCAGCTCAGGTCATGACCTCACGGTCTGTGGGTTCGAGCCCACATCAGGTTCTGTGTTGACAGCTCAGAGTCTGAAGCCTGCTTTTGATTCTGTCTCCCTCTCTCTCTGTCCCTCCCCAGCTGTTCTCTGTCTCTCTCAAAAAATAAACTTAAAAAAATTAAGAATAAATAAATAAAAATAAATACACCCCCTACTGTAATAATCAATCATCCTACTCCTGTGTATTGTCCCAAGAAACATGAAACTGTATGTCCATACAAATACTTGTAGTGAACACAGAAGTTTTTGTTGTAATAGCCCTGCACTGGAAACTACCACCATGTGAATGGCTAAGCACATGGTGCTACACTCATATAGAGGAATACCATTTAATACTAAAAAGGGATAAGCTGTTGACACATACAATGATAAGTAATGACTCCTTAATGAAAGAAGCCAGGCCGCCCAAAATGATACACTGTAGGACTCTGCACAAAATTCAAGAAAAAACAAACCCATCTACAACAACAGAAGAGAGATCAGTAGTTGCCTGGGGTGGTGGGGGGCAGGAGGGTGAGGAGTGGGACAGGGAAGGGTGGGAAGGAAGGATGATAAGTGGGCACACAAGAAAACTTTTGGGGGTGACATACACTCCTCATCTTTACCAAGGTGATGGTTTTAGAAGGGTACATGTCAAGTCAAAACTTCCCAAAGTAATCACGTTACGTATGCTCAATTTTTCTATGTCAACTACACCTCAAAATAAAGCTATTATAAAAAATAAAACTGATGGCCTGTTTGGGCAATGTTGCTAAAACTTTGGGCAAAGACCTTCCAACCAAGCAAAGGCAAGATTCAAGTCCATGCAGAGCGTCCACAATGCAGTGACTCTGCATGTGTGTGGACCACTGCGAAAAAAAAACAAAAATAAAAAACCAAGAAATTCTTCCTTTTGCAAAATGCAAATGACAAGGGTTCATCCATTCACATCCTTCGAGCCCAGTTCCGATGCAATCTGTTTCTTGAAGCCTTTCCTTACTGCTCAAGTAGAAAGTGATTACTCCCCTCCGTGAATCACCCTAACACTTTAGTTAATTTTCAGATATCAGCTCAGCACATTTCTCCATCCACCCATCACACATTTATTAAATGACGCACCCAGGCCAGATGCACAGAGGCTTGGTGCTGGAAACACAAACGTGAGCTGGGCGTAGTTCTTCACCCACAAAAGCCTCGTAGGCTACTGGCTACTGGCCAAAGACTTTAAATGACAATAACACACCATAACGTTTATTTCCACAACATTTAAAAAGTACAACAGGAACCTGGAAAAAGAAATTCATGCTGTCAGACAGTCTTGTGCGGTAGTGACTTGTTCAGGACCCCATCTCCCTCTAGACCGCCGCTCCCCAAGAACGAGGGGCCGTGACTTACTCACTGTAATCATCCACTCAATTGCCCCGCACAGGCCCTGACATGAGAGTTTTACGCTCGAATATTTGTTTGAACGAATGCAAATTTCGTTTCATAGGCGTCTGCTCTTTGACTAGAAGCAGGGCCACCATGTGGCCAACTTGCCAGTTGAGTCCCAACCTTTATCCATTTTGTCATCCAAAGCAAGTCATTTGAGAGGAGATAAAACACTTAAATCTAGGTTTTCCCAAATCCCACAGGAAGAGCTCCTACCCATTCTGTCAGTGAAGGAAACAGCAAGGAGTAGGGGTGGGGTGGATGGGGCTTGGTCAGCAAAGTCTAGGACACAAGAGGTACATGGTGAATCAAGGTCCCGCCATGGGTCTAAAGCGGGCCCTGGTGCCCCGTACTGTGACCACCAGGTATTCCTCTGTCCAGCGAGCACACAGCTTATCTCTAGAGGAATGCCAACAGTCTCACTGTGAAAGCAATTTCTAGGGATTATATGTGGGACTTTCTGCTTTTCCAAAAGATCACAAACCTTTTATCTGCACTCAGTTTCTGAAGGGGCAGAGAGTGGAACAGATACGCAGTTACGAAGTTTCAGTTGAGATGAAACTAGCACAGAATGGAAAAGTCTCACACTACAACCAAAAGATCTGGCCTAAACATCAAGCAGAAATCCTTCACCATTTCCAGACAGTGCAATTGAGCCTAAGAAGAATTTTCCACTCAGTGTTAAAGACAAGGTAGATTTGCATCTTGTACTTGCATGTATAGAAACCACGAGTCTTGGAAGGGAAATGCAATAGAAAGTTATCTGGATTTGTCTGGACCCACAGGCCGACAGCTCCAGGGGCCAGCTGGTGGGGAGGGGCTCTTACCGGTAGATAGGGTCCTGCATCACCAGCATCTTGGTCTCATCCCACGTCCACTCCTTTTTCTGCAATAAAAGAAGCTGTAAATGAATAAGTTAGGCTTGTCCTCCACTACAGAACCGGGGCACACACTGGGCTACTAACGGCTACGCAAATGCATTTGCTTCTGGCCCGACTTCTAAGAGTGCCCAGTGCTACAAAGGCCATGCAGAAAATGTTGTGTCTGGTCTGAGCAGTTTCCTTCAAACACTTTAAGGAGACTATCTCTCCCGGGCACAGAAGGCAGGTGGCGCCCCAGATGGGAGAAGGAAGGGCACCTGTGGGACTCAGTCGGTGAAGCATCCGACTCTTGGTTTTGGCTCAGGGTATGTCTCATGGTACGTGGGTTTGAGCCCTGCATCAGGCTCTGCACTGGCAACGTGGAGTCTGCTTAGGATTCTTTCTTTCTTTCTCTCTCTCTCTCTCTCTCTGCCCCTCCCCTGCTCACTCACTCACTCTCTCAAAATAAATATTAAAAAAAAAAATAAGGGAGAAGGGGGCAGAGCTGTGAATGGCACCATCAAAAGCAAAGAAGTGCAGCTCTCGCCCTCCCCTCCTCAAGGGGGGAAAAGCGGGACGGGACCGAAGCCCGGAGAGTTAACCAGTACATGCGCAGGTCCCCTGGAGGGCAGTCGTGCCGGGGGAAGCTGACTCACGGTGAACACAAAGGAGAGCCCTGAGCAGGTGGGGATGAAGACAGGGACCAGGACAGGGATGGGGGCGAGGGGTGGGGCAGAGGAGTCAGGGGCAGTAAGTACCAGAGACCCCAAGTGCTTGATGAGGGGAGGAGTACCCCCACGTGTCGAGGAAGCACCGGGTCAGAGGCCACCACCTCCTAGGTCCCAGTCCCCAGGCACGGGGGGCCCCTTCGCTGGCCTTTGCCGCAGAGGCAGTGCTGCCCAGGACGACCGGGGAGTCGCACCCCCTCTCTCCGTGAACACGGATCAAGCAGAGGGAAAGGCAAGCAGGTGTATGTGGGATGAAGTACCGTTTAATGAGCGCTGTCAGCTCTGTGAGTTTGCCAGAGAGCACAGGGCGGTGGCTCTCAAAGCGCTAGGGTGTGAAGATGGAGGCCTCCCCCAGGGGCCGGGGGACCGCGCTCAGGCCCTTTGGTGACATTAAGAAGCATTTCTCCAGCAGACACTCAAACACAACCCTGTACACACCTGCCAGGTACCAACACACGCGTGTGTGCACACACACACACCATTTCACCCCCAAATTCTGAGTCAATACCCAAGCCAGCCCACAGAGGTGGATTTTCCACTGGCTTACAAGCATTCAGTATCAAATGCTGTTTCACAGACAAGGAAACTCGGCTTCAGGAATGAACTATTTTGGGGGGCACCTGGGTGGCTCAGTCGGTTAAGCCTCCAACTCTTGATTTCGGCTCAGATCCTGATCTCACGGTTCGTGAGTTCAAGCCCCGCACTGGGCTTTGTGCCAACAGTGTGGAGCCTGCTTGGGATTCTCTCTCTCCCTCTCTTTTCTCTGTTCCTCCCCAACTCTCTCTCTCTCTCTCAAAATAAAATAAATAAATAAAGAATTAACTATTTTTTCAAAAGTGGCCTTTCTATAAAGGCTACTCCCTGCCCTGTAAGATGTTAGTACAGGAATGGTCCACTTGGAGCAAATGAGAAATAAGGAGAGAACACCTTTTTCTAAACGAGAACCCTCCAGATGTATATAAATACTGTCGATCCAGACCCTCCTCTTTATACTAAAACAGCCCAGGCCGTGCAAACATTCCTCACCAGACTAAGTCTTCTGGACTTCTCACTACCCTAGTTGGCCTTTTTTTATACACCCTTTTTAAAACAAAAAAATTAACGTTTATTTTTGAGAGAGGGACAGAGAGCAAGTCGGGGAGGGGCAGCAAGAGAAGGAGACACAGAATCAGAAGCAGGCTCCAGACACGGGGCTTGAACTCACAAGCCGTGAGATCATGACCTGAGCCGAAAGTGGAAGTTAATTGACTGTGCCACCCAGGCGCCCCATGGATGCCTATTTTAAACACACAATATAATTGTTCACCATAGGAATTCTTCACACAGCAAAAAATAAGGTTTAAAATGTGGCCTGATTCGGGGGCAAAGTGTAATAAAATATTAATTAAATATTAAGTTAAACCACATCTGTATTTATGGCCATGGATCCTGCCTGAAGTTAACTTAATTCAGTTAGCAAGGTTGAGAAAGCACCTCCTCTCTGCCGCTGAGCCCATTTATTTACATCTCGTTTCAGCAGCTGTAGGTTTTAGTTCTAATGTCTCCATTCCGTTCTTCTTCCCTCTATTTCTTTGCAGAGACTTTCTACTTCTTCTGTGTCAAGAGCGTAACTGCTCGTGGAAGTACCTTTATGATGGCTGCCTTACCACCTCTGTCAGATGATCTAACACCTGTCGCCCTGGTCCTGGCATGTCTTAGTTATCTTTTGTCCATTCAAGTTGAGATTTTCCTCATTCCTGGTATAGCAAGTGATTTTCAATCGAAATCTGGACATTTCAGAAAACATTTTTTTTATTTGTTTATTTTGAGAGATGGGGGAGGGGCAGAGAGAGAGACGGAGAGAGAATCCCAAGCAGGTTCCACACTGTCAGCACAGAGCCCAACTCAAGGCTCAGACTCATAAACTGTGAGATCATGACCTGAGCCGAAACCAAGAGCTGGATGCTTAACAAAGTGAGCCTCCCAGACGCCCTGAAAATAGTTTACTTTTAAAAGGGGGGCTAGTTGGGGCACCTGGGTGGCTTAGTCGGTTGAGCGTCCGACTTTCGCTTAGGTCATGATCTCGTGGTTCATAGGTTGGAGCCCCGCGTCGGGCTCTGTGCTGACTGCCAGCTCAGAGCCTGGAGCCTATTTCAGAGTCTGTATCTCCCTCTCTCTCTCTGACCCTCTCCTGCTCACGCTGTCTCTCTCTCTCTCCTAGAAATAAATAAAAATATTTAAAAAACAATATTAAAAAAATAAATAAATAAATAAAAGGGGTACTAGCAGGGGCGCCTGGGTGGCTCAGTTGGTTAAGTGTCTGACTCTGGCTCAGGTCATGACCCCGCGGTTCATGGGTTTGAGCCCCGGGTTGGGCTCTGTGCTGACAGTGCAGAGCCTGCTTGGGATTCTCTCTCCCTCTCTCTGCCCCTGACCTGCTCATACTCTCTCTTTCCCCCTCTCAAAGTAAACAAACCTAAAAAAAAAAAAAGAACAATTTGATTCTTCTTCTCTCTTGCTCTGAAATCATTTCACATAACTCCTCGTTTTCAAATGTTGTAGAGGGAAAAAAATTATACCACACACACACACACATCACCCCCTCCTTACTTTACTACATGGAAATAAGTATCCTTTGAAGGAAAATATTTTAGGAAAAAATGTTCTTTTTTAAAAAAGTTTATTTATTTGAGACAGAACGAGTGGGGGCAGGGGCATAGAGAGAGGGAGAGAGAGAGAGAATCCCAAGCTGGCTCGGCACTGTCAGTGCAGAGCCCGATGCGGGGCTCAAACCCACGAACCGTGAGATCATGACCTGACCTGAAGTCAGACACTTCAGCGACTGAGCCCCCCAGGCGCCCCTGGGTATATTAATGACCACTACTGCAGCCAAGCCGTGGCGAACAGAAGTGGAACTTAGTTTTATGGTCTTCGGAAACTCACACGCTCTCACTTCTATCTGAAAGCATTTTTTGTTTTTTGGAAAGCTCAGAAATAAGGACGTGGGAGCCTTGGTGGCGACATGTGGGAATTTTCAGTTTTGTTTACCCACTGGCTGTAGTCTCCCAGATACGCCAGAAAAGGAAGACATTTCACGTCCCGGTGGGAGTGAAAGGAGAGAGGAGGGAGGGAGAGGGGAGCATCCCCAATGCCGTCAGCCCCGTTGAGGCAGAGGGGGCCTCACAGCTGTGTTTACCACCCACACCGGGAGCACCAGCAGGATGGAACAAGCCGGTCTTCAGCCTCCTTCGACCAAAGGCCCAGACTCAGGCGGGCCTCACTGGCACCGTTCGGAGTCCCAGCAGGTAAAGCAGGGAGGCCCGTAAGCGAGGCCCAGGGAGGCAAAGGTCGATGCCCTCATTAGATCCCTAAATATAAAGGAATGGGGAGGGAGGAATGTTAGCAGAGAGGGAGCGCCCTAGCGGCAGCTGTCTGGCCGTCTGCCAGCCCCCCACCCTGTACCCACACACCTGTAACTCCCTTCTCTCACTTGTTCCCTCTGCGCCTGCCAAGGGCACCCACGGCATGGCTGGGCCTTCCAGGAGGCCCCTGAACTAGAGTTCACTAGCCCGTGTCTCTCTGTGCCTTCTCCCCCATCGGTCTCCCTTCCCCCTTCTCTTCTTCTTATCAATTCCTTACTCCAGGGGAATTTAAACAGTCATCGGGATAGAGCAGCTTAACGTGAGGGAAGGCTCTGCATCATCTGTTTTTTTAAATGTTTATTTATTTTTGACCGAGAATGAGAGAGAGAGAGAGAGAGAGAGAGAGAGAGAGAGAGAGAACATGTATGCATGAGTGGGGGAGGGGCAGAGAGAGAGGGAGACACAGAATCCGAAGGAGGTTCCAGGCTCCGAGCTGTCAGCACAGAGCCCGACATGGGGCTTGAACTCATGAGCCATGAGATCATGACCTGAGCTGAAGTTGGATGCGTAACTGACGGAGCCGCCCCGGTACCTCTCCATCATATTATTGACTAGTCAGAACTTTCTAGAGAAAACAGTTGTCACTGCAGGAGTGTGCCCTACAGACCTCCCATTACAGGGAGTTTAACCAAGGACCCCAGGGTGTCATTCCGAGACCTGTCCTCTCGCTTCAGCTAGGGACCCTGCTTCCGGGACGCTCCCGGCCCATCAGGGGTGCGCAGGGGTGCGCAGGGCAGGCCCGTTCCTGGGAGACAGAGGAGTCCACCCACGTGACGTTGGCTTCGCAACCTCCTGACAGACTTGCCAAACTGCCATCTACGCGACTTTCATCCACCTTTCCTTCCTTCCTTGCTCTCTCCTCCACTTAGAATCAGGCCCGCCCAGAAATGGGACAGCTACCAGCCTCTCCCA